TATATGTTATAACCTTTTTATATCTTATTAATGTTATAACTAAAGTTATAACTCATATAAATGTTTGCACCCTTAGTTTCAGTAACTTTATCAGTGATATCATTACCATCGATTTCCAAGTGTCTTAAATTCAGAGGTTCTTTGATGATAGCTATAATCAATTCATCATTCCACAAAGCTATAGTCCCATTAAAGTTAAGATACTCTATTTTGAAGTGTCTTCGCATCAAAGTACTATGGTGCCAGAAGTCTTAACCTGACAATAAAAATTGTAACACTTAAAAATTTTTCAACTCTTTAAAAAATAAAATTTTAAAAAAATAAACCAGTAACTTTATTCTTTAAGATGAATACTATTAAACTACTGATCAGATTTTTAAAATAATGTTTATATAAAAAGTTATAAGCTTTTGAAATTCGATGATTTTATATGATCGGCCTAAATTTGAAACGGATCAAATCACATGCATGTAATTTTATTGGTCAACATTTTACATAATTTAGGCCAATATTATAATAACTTAGTGCTGGTCCGAATTGTTGTTAATATATTATATTAGCAAAACTCAGAAAATATTTTTTTAATTTGAATAAATTAACATTTAAGTTCATTTTCTAAGATGCAACGTAAAACAAAAAGGCAACAGCAAATTAGTCAAATATCTAGAAAAAAAGGACGTTATGTGTCTCAAAATCAAGTTACAATAGAAGATGCTGTTGAAAAAGAAGTTACTGAAGAATTGATAGAAGATAAAATTATCGAAGAATTTGCAGAAGATAAAATTATTGAAGAATTAAAAGAAGATGAAATTATTAAAGATAAAGCTGTTAAAGATTGGGCAGAAGAAGACTTCATTTAAAAAAATTGGAAAAAACTCATTACTAAAGCCCTTCATTGACATAAGGATGCTACAAGTAGTATTAGAGCAACATATACTGGAAATTCAATAACAACACAATGGAAGCAAAAAAATGAAAAAACAAAATTAAAAGAACATGCTAAAGGAATAAAAAGGATCAATACCTTTTTCTAACCAGTTTCTGGAAATATTAGATCATCACAGCCAATCAATACAAAGACGGATCTAAATATGCATTTAGAAAAGCTTAACCAATTATGTTCAATAGGAAAATCTAAAAAAGAGAATCATAATATATTTACCTATAATCATATACGTCTTCTAAGTGTGCGTCATTTTATACAACAATTAATAAATGGACAAGGAAAAATAACCGCCAGTAATCAAATTGCTCAAGTTATGTGAAATAAAGGAGATTATATAGCTCGATGTATTAGAAAATGGGGAAGTCACTATATACGAACTGGTGAGTTTCCTATCCATTCTCAAAGGAAGCATATGAAAATAGAAAGCCTGCTGAATGATAAGGATTTTATTGATGGTTACCAAGTATGGTTACGACAGCAGACACCAGAAACTCGTTCTTCTTATAATCTAAAAATATACATTGAAGAACATGCCAAATCTATATGCATCTATGGGGATATAAGTATGATGAAAGAAAGAAAGGTGTTTATTACGATGGGCATGAAAGGCCAGATGTGGTAGAATATAGAAAAGGATGGCTAGAAAGAATGTTTACATATAAAAAACGTATGAAAGAATTTGGTGGTGATATGCTAGAAGTTATATTGAAACCCGAATTTAAATCAGGAGAAAAGAAGCTCATTTAAGTAACACACGATGAATGCCACTTCTATGTTAATGATAGATGACAAAGAATTTGGATTGGAGAGGAAGATGTTTTACATCCAAAACATTTGGGACGTTCTATAATGGTCTCTGGTTTTCTTTGTGCATGTCATGGACCATTAAAACTATCCGATGAGCAATTACAGGAAAATCCGCATGTCAAAGATAAAAATGCTTATATTCTTCATTCTGTACAAGTGGATGGATACTGGACCTCAGAACATATGATGGAACAGGTTTGGTTAATTATTTTTTTATGTATGCATAATAAATGAGAAATTTTTTTAAACTAACTTACCTTACTTTTTATAATACAGCTCGTGCAAAGAGCAATTCCAATATTTGAAATATTGCATCCTGGATGCATTGGCGTTTTTTGTTTTGATCAATCGACCAATCATAATGCTATGGCAGAGGATGCGTTGATCGCAACAAGAATGAATTTAGGACCTGAAAGAATGCAACCTAAAATGCGTAATGGGTGGAGCATAGGGAAAGTCTAAATTTAGTGATCATCATTACACAATTATTTATATGTGTTTTATAATAGAATTTAATTAAATTATGATCGACCATATGACAAGCCACAAATATTACTAAGTAATACATAACGAAACTTCGCAAAATTGTTCTCTAAAGCTATTTTCTTCGCTAAAGTCAATAACATCCAATGACATCCGATGTTTCAGAGAGTTTTATATGAAGCATTTTCTTTAATTAAAGAAATATATCGATAACCTTGGTAAATTTAAACTGAAATTTCAAAAGTTATTCTAAAAAGAGTATTTAATTTTTAAAAAATTAAAATTTATTTTGAATTCTTTAAAATAAAGTTCTTTATTAATCTAATAAGAAATTTATTTATTATATTACAGGTAATATTACCAAGTATTAACGTGACTAAGTGCATTTATAAATTCTGTATGCACTTCTTGACTCCTATTTGCTTCTACTTCTTCCACCACCTCATTTTCTTTTTCTATTAGAGTTGCATCTTGTTCATCAGAGGTAAGAATATTTGGATCTTTTTCTAATCGATCTAAAAAAGAATTCACATTACTATAAATTTCACGTTTATAATATTCCTCATAATATCGACATCTATATTCTATTATTTGATAACATTCAAAATGATAACCATGCCCACAGATTAATACTTCACCTTTATCAAGTTTTTTATAGCAATGATCACAAGAATCTAGTAATAGGACTATATTAGCACTATATCCTGTTGGAAGGCATCTTGAATCAACAGTCTCTTTAAGGTAGCTAATTGACATTGTGTTTTTTTCTTTGATTTATATAATTTACTTTTTTCGCGATTCTTGTAAATTTCTTTAAAATAGTCTAATAAAAACAATAATGTTTTTTTTGTTAGAATGTCTAATGCCGATGGCTTGTAAGGATATGTCTTGGATTTTTGAAAAGTATCTTTAAGTTCACAATGGTCTTGTGTATCTAATACAACCATATGAAATCAGATGATATTACAAATATATATTATATAAAATAAGCAAATAGAAAAAAAATACCAATTACATAAGCTTGTTTTATAATATTGTCAACATTGCTATTTACAGGTGTGTGAGCTCTTATTTTACTATACATATTCTCAATATAATAATTGTTAAAGTTAATTAAAAATAATTTTACAACTTCAGCAAAAGGATGATTTATATCTTGCCAGTAAAAAATGTCTAATAAGAAGGCTAATGGTGCTTTATTGTAATTATGCCTTTTCCATTGAAGTGCAAATATTCATATTTGAAAAATTGTTTCTATATACTCATTAAATGAGTCTGATCAAAATAGAATTGAATACACATCCAAAGTTGCTAGAATTATATTGTCTAATAGATCAATAACCATACAATATTCAATATCTTTGCAGGTATTTCCAAATTTTGTTATAATAGTATCTCTAATTTTATACCATCC